TAGCCCTATGCCTTTCTAATGATGCCTCATCAACCTGAGCAGCTCCCTCTTCTGTGGTATCAAATAACCTGAAACTCTCAAAATCCTTCCTAAAATAAGCCTTACCTACCCTGACTTCCTGCCTTGCCAAACAAGCTTAGTTTTAGTCCTTCTCTAAAAGCTTTTAAAAATACCAAATAAATATCACTTTCCACTGTGAAAAACCCTTTGGTCGAAATAAGATGCATGCCAAATTGCCACTTGCCCTGGCTCCTTTGAGGCACAGATCTCCTTCTCTTTGTTTAGGCTGTAAACTATTTGGGACAGGAACCTTGTCTTTAAGCAGCTAAAATACCATGCACGTTTCCAGCCCTGCATAATCAGTCTCATCTCTCCCAGGCAAATGGCCAGCGCTTGTACATTTCTGCTTCCAAGTTCTGAGCGCCTTGTTTCACATACCTCTCCTTCACCTATATACGTTTGTTCTTTTCTGCCTCCATAAATAAGCGTGGAAGTTATCTGCAGCACTTCAGGAGCCAACCAAGTAAGGGAGTAATTTCCTTTGCTGAGCTGGTGTTTGTACATGCCCCCAACTTTCTGTGACCCCATCCTTGTTTGATATGTCGGTAGAGCGGAGATAGGGGGGCACTGGGCTAGAAATTAGCCAATTAACGATTTCCCAGCAAAATGCAACAGCCCCAACCCTACATCTTCCAAACCACAGAAGAATTTTCTTTCAAAATACTTTCCTCTCAGTCAGCAATCTGCGCTTGCCCTCCCCCACTCCTCCGCTCCACCCCCCCTTTGTCAGACCTGCTTCTGGAAAAACTCTCCCCGTTCCAGAAAGCAATGCATTAATTCAACATTGACTTTGTTTTACTTGTCTAAATATTCAGCAGAGAAAATAACTGTTCACAGTTATCAAATGTGTTCATCTGCAGACAGGAACTCTTTAGCCTTTGTCACCCTCCCCCCCCTTTTTTTTTTTAAATAACAGAAAACCTCATGCCAACAGATAGAAAAGAACAATGACATTTCTTCTAAACAGTTCTGTACTGCACATGCTCTTCCTTCAACCAGCAAGGGGCAATAAACATTTACTACTTTCCTTGGAGCATAGAGGAGGGATAAAAAAAAAATAATAAAAAAAATTACAAACTAAGTCTGAAGCTGCTCTGTGCTGGTTTGATTTAGCACAGCAAAGCAACTTCGCTCTTGAGTGACAAACATTTCATGAGCATCAAGGACAAGCAGGGGAAAAGAGTGAAAACAAAGGGAGAAGTCCTGTGGGTAATGAAGGGGCTGACAAAGAGGGCAGAGCAGCTCTGGTGGGTAGCAGGAAAGGATAAGAGTGCATGAGCACACCAGCCAGGCTGGATTACCACTACTGATCAAGGGCTATTTCCACAGCCAAAAAACTGGCTGCAGAACAACCCACCCAGGCTAAGAGATGGGGTTCAAGTATCAAGACCAATTTAAGATTGGGTTCAAATATCAAGACCACTGGGTTACACTGCTGCCTTCCCTCTACTCCACATCCATCTCTCCCCATCAAGCTCCCTCTTTCCCTGTCAGGCAAGCATAGGAAGACCTATAGTTTCCAAGTTCTAACTTTAACTCTTTCATTGAATAGGTTATTTCTTGTGTTAAATAATAGGCTAATCTGGCAGAAAACCAGCCCATATGTCACTATATTGTTGATATGAATAATTTTAAAGCACTTTCCTCCATTGTAACAGCTCCAGTTGAAAGTGTTGGGCACAAAACCAAAGCAGCAATAACTCATGTCAGATATCTGGCATCTAAAACAGGCATGTAAACCCCAACTTTTCACAATCAAACTGTAATAGCACAAATGACTTCTCATGAAATTAGCCTGTAAACAAACTTAAATCCTCTTCCAGGGGAAGTTCCAAATAAATGCAAGCGTAGAATTAGCATTTTACCCAATACAAGAGAACATGGACTCTGCATCTTACAGGTCTAACAAGTGTCAGGACTGAGGAAAGCTACAAATATTTAGGCTTCTCCTCACAATCCATATTTGTATTATCAGAGTTTTGCAATGTATATACAAAAGTTTAGAAAACGTACCACATCTAAAAACATTTAACATTTAAAAAAAAACAAGCTCTACAGCTACATAAGAAACATAAACCAATGTAATCTCTTAGATCTGGGCACGCCACAGACCATTTTAAAGAGAAAAGTTCAGCAACAAATGTCATCTGTTTCTCTTTGTAAAAACAGACTACAGCTGTTCTCTCTGCAGATTTTTTTTTCAGCTTTAAAAAAGGAGTATGATATTCAATAACTTGTCTTTCATGTTTCTGATTCACAGACCTGGTAACATTGCTCCCAAATATCTCAAGTTTAGGGATGCTTAGCTTCTTTCAAATGGCTTTGGAAAGGGTGGAAATAAATAAACTATATGTCACCTCTAACAATTCTCCATTAGGCAGTCTGTAACAGGGAAGCAAACACCCTTCCCTTCTGCATTCAGGCTTTCCCAGTGTTTTTAAAATCCAAGTCACTTAGAAAATCCTGGCCTTTGGAAGCAACAATTAATTGCTTCAGTTCTGGCTTTTAAGTGATTTTATCATAGACCTAGTTGGTAAAAATGCTTATTAGTGATACCCAAACATAAAGGGAAGCATCCTTTCAAGCTTTCTTTTAAACTCCAGTGAACTTTCAGAGCTAACTCTTCCAATAGCAGGGACTATCTCAAGCAGAGTATCTCTGGGTGGGAGAATTTCAGCCAAAATGTTTAATTGAATTTATTTCCAAGAAAGAGGCCAACTGGGGGAGGGGAAGCTGTTTTGCCTGTGTTGAACAATTCTGGCAACCTCCTGTTTGAGAAGTTTTAGTTCTTATGTGCTTTGGAGTGGGGACTTGAAGACTGGCAGGGGCGTGCACGTGTACACTTCATGCATTCTGTCATTTCAGAGCAAACCCACCCAAATTTGGCCTTGTTAGAAGTCTTTTGGGCTGGGATGGGAGGGAAAGAAGGGAGAAAGAATCTCTTCTGACCTCACATAAACTGTGATCTGTTATAGAACAGCAGGATGAACACCCAGAGAGACTCACACTTTCAACAACTGAAATTTGGAAGGCATAGATGTCTGTACAGGCTACAGCTATGCCAGATGATGAAGCCACTGTCTCCAACCTGTCCCCAAGTGTTCACATCACTCTCTTTACTTCCAATGAGCCTGCTCTTGGAAGAGCTCCCTAAACTACCATTTCAGATGACATTAAACAGCTTATTTTTAGCCAGCCTGGCTAGCTCCGGCTGAAATGCATTGGAGAGAGCTTATAGAAACAGCTCAGCCATGGAGGGTGCTCCAAACCTTGAGATGCTGCCGTTTGTGCCAAGTTCAAGTGCTGAGATTTAGTTTGAGATAAAGAACATATTCTCCAACACACTCAAAACCCCAGCATTGCTTGGGCCTAATAGGGAAGAAACTGTTGTGGAGAAAGAAAAGGGCAGGAATGACTAGGGGAGCCTGTGGTGGGGAAGACTGACAGGGAAGACACTGTGGCACTGGTCAGAGGTCAGGTCTGGAAATGCACACAGATGGTGGGCACAAGAGTGAAAACCTGGGAATGCATCTTAGGTCCCTGAGTCAACTATGCTAAGGGACTGATCATGCAGTCTCAGTATTTTATGGAGCTTTGCTTGCAATACTGTATGAATATGAAAGGATATATTTGTTTAAACTACTAAACAAATTGTTTAGAAAACTGATTCCCAGAAATTATCCTAGTTAAATTGCCAGGAAGTATCTGGCAGAGTTTGACAATGCAAAATAAGTAGGTCCCAAACTCTTGGGTTACAGAAATGGCACGAAATCATTCTCACAAGCCAGCATGTGTGCTTATGGGGGGTTTTTTGATGCCTTCAGGCAGTATTTGGTGGCTGAGAGCAAGACTTTGTCTTCTGAGGGTAGTTCCAGTTGCTGCAGGGTCAAGCTACAATAGGAAGAACACCCCCTCTTGTTATTTTGGTTTCCTCAATAACAGTTTGAAGCAAAGATAAAAGGTCACTTAAAAGTTGTATGTGCACATAGAACCACCACCAAATCCAGGAGAAGATAAATTTGCTACTTTAAAAGTACCTTCTCTCCTTAGTATGAAAAGGCATGTTTTTCTCAACTGGGAAGCCTCTATTGTGCTTACATTTGGTTCCATCCCCTCAGTAAGATTGTCTGAAAGTTACACAGATGTGCAATGGTGCTTCCTTCCACCTCATACCTTTCTGAAGTGCAATGAACACCACATCTGGACAATCTCGTAAGAAGGGGATAGAAAGGGGTACCTTTACTCTGGGAAAGATGATTCACATGCACTGGAGAAATGCTTGCTTTGGAATATTCCTCAGATTTTACACGAACATGGCTTCACAATGCAAGGTGCTCCACCCCGCCCCCCTCCCCCAACCTGCCATGCTCCCTGTGAAACCAGCAAAGCAAAAAAAATTTTTAATGCTGCTACTGGTGGTATTTTAAACATCCAGGACTGACACCAAAAGTCCCCAAAGTTCTGAAAAAGTCTGCAGTAGCAAGCACTGATCACAAGAAAGAGAGGGGACTGAAACTGGAATGATTCTCATCTTTCCACACCAAGCACTTTTCCAGTACGCACATCTCTGATCATGGCTTTTTGGCATTCTTCTCATTTTAATAGCCCTGAAAGTATCACTTGTCCTTACTGAGGTAGGAAAGACTGAGTACAACTATGCCCACAGTTAAAACACAACAGATGTGAACTTCCCCAAGCAGCACGAGGAGTCAGACTGCAGAGTTATGCTTGGTTATTAGCCTCCAGCTCTTGGGCGGCCGAACCCTAGCTCCAAGACACCCTCAAGCTGTCATGTACGAAACCCACATCTGAACTCTGGAGCTTCAGCTTCTCTCTGCCAGAGTGCCAAAGATGCAGACCCCGGTGCACAAGAGCTGAAGCTGCAGCATGGCTTTTGGTGCACCCTTAGAGGCTGGTGCCATAGGAAGCTATTAATTCACCTCGACTCTGCTGCCTGTTGACTATCCCGCCTAGCGTCCATCGCCGGTCCAGGCGTCTCAGGTGAGCCTTGCGTCGTTTAGAAACTAGTTTGGAACATGGATGGAAACAAAAAAACAAAAACAAAAAAAGGGAAAAAAATGATGGGAGGGTGAGGAATACAAACAAAACATGGCATTTACAAGCACTGGTCTTGTTAGCAGGAATGGGTTAGCTGGGATGCAGACATTTTGGTTTAGTTTATATATTACAGTGGAACAAGTTAGTTTCTTGAGCCTGAGCAACATGAACCATCTCGAACTGTCAAAAATTGGCACCCTTTCTATTGGCTTTCCTTAAAAAACCCAAAACATACACACATCCCAAAACAAGATGCACAACAGAAGACAACTTGTCCAAGGAGACTGCAGTGGCAGAACACATCCACATCATTCCTGATGCATCTCCTAGTTAGGCTACATGATCTTCGGAGACTTCAGTCCATTGCATACAACATCAAACCCAACAGGGGTCCAACCTTCTCTAAACAAGTTATCACACTATAAAAAAAATCCAGGAAAAAAAAAGCAGCTTCTCTTACGTGAGTTTACTTCTAACAGCAGCACTCAGGAACAGTGAAGAGTGTCTGATGTCTCCTTGCTTGCACCTCTGTGACTCACAATTACTGCCACAGCTAATTCTCATGATCCATATTATTACAAAATATGAGGAAAAACCTGACCTTACAACTACTGAGCAGGCTCAAGAAGCTAACAAGCCAGAACTGAGAATTAGTCACACAATGAACCAATAATTTATGCTAAAATATAAACAAAGACAAGACACCTACGGAAATGGCATTGTGAGAGCAGCTGTGCACAGAGGACACACTTGTTTTCTGGATTGTGTGAATTGTACTCACTTCCTTCTTCTGCTTGTAAAGGTGTGAAAAACACAGGAACCATTGGACTGTCATAGAAATACAAATACTTCCCTTTTTCCATTCAAGGGCTTCCACACTAGTTTGGGAACTACTGCAAGGGTGCCTGGTGCTGCCACAAAGGAGTGCAAAACATTACACTTCAGCTATTACTAGGGTGCAAACACAACCATTTTGCTAGTGGTGCCAGGAAGCTATTCCTAAACTTTGATATCATATTATTAATAATCACTCAATTCTGCTTATGCACACTCATTTGGGGAATACGCCCTTATGACAGCAGACACCACTGTCTTCTAGAACTATGTTCTGTAGACCACTAGGCATAGCAAAATTATTTGATTGGGGAATGATTAGTAGAGCAAGTATAAAAAAAATAATTAATAAACTTCCCCCAAAAGTGCCTTTTGCCCTTTATATGCTCAGGGGCTTAGACCAGACTTCAGCACCCAGCTCACTCATGTCGATTTCTCCTTTGCTTTAAGGCCTAAACCTTCCTTAGTCACCCTAAGTGGAGGTGTGGTGAGTGGTGTTGAACAGGCGCCATATGTCTAGTTTGTGGTACTCTGTACCTCACCTTTGATCTCATGCAGGCCAGAGAAGAACCAAAAATTTTCAGAGGAGCTGGATTTCAAGTTTATAGATCGCTGCGGTTTTGGCTAATGGAAATCAGTAGTCCTCCTGGAAGACCATGGTGGCACAGAAGATGAGCTGTTTTCACTCCTTACTGGTAGTGTCTTTATTAACAATAGATTTAACTTGGTAGCTTTCTCAAAATCAACAGGATATTAGACTGACAGTTACACACACACACACACACTACACAAGAGGCAACACAGAACACCTCACTACACATACAGATTGTAACAGAGAAAAGCTAAATTCACAGTAAACCTGCATTAGAAGGTTTTTATAGAAGAAGGGGAGAAACGAAAGATGTTGAACTTACAGGCTTGTAGGAAGGAGAGGTGTGGAGGGATAGAAATTTGCTTCAGATGTCAATACAGAGCAGTCACCCACAGCTCCCTGCTTGCCCCGGGAGTTTGGAGGGCTTAGCCATCCAGGAGCACCCCCTGAACATAGTGGGTGATGCAGATTCACCACACTGCATCCTCCTCACAACGTATGACTATGCCCAGTGATAGACCTTCTGTATCACAATGATGCTTTTGTACAAGTCAGATTTTCTTCTCCTCAACAACACTGGATTTTGCCATCTGATCCCAGACTTGGACTTGGTTGGTCATGCCACAGTTATTCACCAGAAAGGTTATTTATCAACAAGTGTCTAAACCTTTCCAGAGACCATTTAAAGATGTTTACTTTAACAGCTCCTGTGGCTGTGAATGTTTCTTTAGATTGCTTTCTGAATGTTTTCCAAGCCTTGTAAGTTGGTGTTGGTCTAAACACAGGCCCAGGTAGCAGTCAACTTGTCTACCCTCACCCTGACAAAAGATGTTGTGCAGACTCAGATGCAGGGAAGAAACACTTTTGTCTTTCTCAGGGAACAGACTATTTAAACAGAGACACATGGAAATATTACTGCTATGTAGAGACAGCATTGTTATTACAGTTGCATTCAGCTCCTCCTTATCTTTACAAGGGCCTGCCACGGCTGAGCAACCCCTGGGCCTGCCTGGCTTGTGGACTTGTTCCAGGCCTGCTGCAAATGGAGAGGGCCAAGAGGCTGATACAGAAAGCTCCCTCCATTAGTGGTTCTACCTCTTCAAGGTAGGCAGAGCATAGACTGTACAGCTGCAGGAAGTCAACATCTCCAGGAGTCACTCTGAAACTTGTATGAATTCTAAACTGAGGGCCGAGGGCACTTCATCCACTTAAAGTGCCTTCCTCAGTTATTTTGGAGCTCCTTTCTCCTGCCTACTGAGAGAGAGTTGGCAAGTTTTCTGTGTAGGTATATTCACTTTTACACACTTTTCTTTAAGAGAGAGAATCTGAGTTGTTCTTTCCTCTCTTATGGAATAACTATTAGGAAAAGAATAGCCCAAGTAAAGAACTGGAGGGGGGCAAACAAAGAACAAAAGTCTCAGTTTATGGGATTAATAACATAAAACAAAGTTACTGAAAGCCAAGCAAAAGCTGGGGCACATCAAAGCAGTTACGGAGGTAATGCAATTAGATTTGTCACTGAGATGGAACTGAACAGAAAGGGAAGAAGAGTCTCAGGTTTCAGCGTATCTGGATGTGGAGTAAGGCAGGGAGCACGACTGCTGACCACAGCTGAGGAGAGCAGTGTAATAGATTAAAGGGGACTGAGACAAAAAAAAGATAAGGAACATTTGATGGATTTTCCATTACTCAGGAAAGACTGCTGTGTGGCAACAGCCCTGTCCAGAATACACTACAGAGGGCAACATGAAAGGCGGAGAGAGCTTGAAATGAAAGCAGTTTAAGCAATAAGGCTGTCAAGCATGCACCATATACAAGTCAGGAAAAGGGAGAAAGCTACAGACCAACAAACAAGGCATCCTCTTTCAGAAAAGAGTGGTAAGCTTTTATTCTTTACTGACAGGGAAACTTTACTAAGTGCTTTTGCATCTGCTAAGATGTTGCATCATGCCAGACTGGTTCCTGGCCTACCAGCCTACAGCCAGTCTGTCTCTAAACCCTAAGTGACCCAGGATATGGGTAGCTTTGAGCAGGGAAAAACGAGTTACAAAGCCAAAGATTTCAATAAGCCACAGATGTCACCCTTGGGGCCCAGCACAAAGTTATGTTTTGCTTGTGTGCTATCTTAATGGGCAAATGGTCACCTCAACACATCTCTAAGCCTCCTGCATGTGCTAAGGAAAGGTCAGCTGAGTTTCCACATACGTTTTACATAAGTATCACATCAAGAGCACCTAGAAATCTAGCAAGAGATTCATTAGAGTCATAATAGTGTCCTTTGTACACAGTTGCTACATGAGAAGTCCATTAAGATGTGGTTAGTCTTTCATAATGGAACAGAGGAACATGTGAGGTTGTACTATTCCATTTCTGGAACCTGAATTAAGCACCTCTAGCCAAAAAACAGAGCAGCTAAATACATATACATGACAAATGGCATTTCAGTTTTAAAAGAATGAGACCACACCAAATAAAAATACCTTTCCACACAATCATAGACCACAGCAAACAGCAGTGAAAACTAGTTTCAAGGATTAATTGAAAAAAAATATTTGTAATGAGAAGCAACCATTAAAGTTAAATCTCATTCCTCTTAATGGCCTATGGCTCTAACAAGCATCTTCTTCCAATTAAAAGCCCTCACTTGTATAATTTCTGCAAACAAGCCATACAAATTCTCTCCTTCCATGAACATGAGAGTCTAGTACCTCTCCCAAAACATACTGCTTGGACTTGCATAAGTTGTTTGTATGCTTTTTAAGGGTATTGAAATTAGTAGAATATTAGGGTCAACATAGCGCTTAGGGATGTGGTGTGGTTGGGAACTATCAATGTTAGGTTAATGGTTGAAGTGGATGATCTTCAAGGTCTCTTCCAACCTAGAATTTGTGATTCTGTGATCATTTCAGCTTTTGAACCTTTCTTCACACTGATAGCCCAAGATGGTCACAAAGGGATTCCAGGCATGGCCCTTCACTCCAATTTCTTCTGCAACAATTTATTTACTGATACAAGATGGGGGAAAAGTTTGCTGCACTAGATTAACAGCCACAAGTGGCAGCAAGAATTTTCAATGTTTTCCTAGGAGGGGGAAAGCATAAAGCAAGTGATTTTACCAGTTTCCCCTTGATAACAAAAAGCTTTCCATACCTTCCCCAAGTTTGGATGTGTTGATGTCAGAGTCATCTCTGGTTCCATTTTGGGATTCCAGGTATGTAGCAGGGACCCAGCCCTGCTCCTCTGCTGTGCTCACAAACCACCAACCTACAAAAAGAAGCAAAAGAAGTTGCTCAGTCAACATTAAGAGGAACAAGAACAGCAAGATGCTACTGAGAAGGCATCTCAGAGTGAGAAGCTTTGGTGCAGGTTTGAATTATGCTGCAGTCTCCTAGGAGTGGAGGTTTAGTCCTCTTGGACCATTTCTAAAAGATATTCTCATAGTGGTAAACAAGTGTGCAGGCATGATATAAAAAAGGTTGCAATGGAGCAATCATCACTTTATTTTAAGAAACCCGAAGCCTATCCATTGCAAGTCTGATTTGAGTTCTCCAAGTCAGTTTCTCAAAGCAAATCTTGCAACATGTACATCTACAGTATCAAAACACTTTTTATGTAAATATGTGAACGTATGGGTATGCACAAACGTTGCTCAAATCCTAATATGAGGTATCACAGAAGTAAAAACATGGAAACAGAAAAGACTTTAGTAGAAGGACACAGATTTCAGAACAGGATGCAAAATAAATGCTTCTAGAGCGCTTGCCACCTCAGCCAGTATTTAACAAACATGACCCAAATTCAATGTCCTGGGAAGCTGGAAAGTACTGCACGGAAGAGAAATAAAAAGAAAAGCTAACTGAAATGTGTCTTCAGGGCATAAGTGCCAGTTATTTGCCTTCCCACACGAACATCCAAGTTTCTGCCACTATCTATAAAAATGTTAAGTATTCATCAACTCTACGGATATAAGCTTTAAGTCACATCCACGGATAGATGAATAAAATTATAGCTGAGCCATTTTTAGGTTAAATACATCTCAAATATGATTATCTTTGTCCCTTTTCTTGCTTGGCTACACTGATTTATTGAATCCTCTACTGGTTTTGATGTAGATTCACTCACCCAAGAACTTGCTGCTCTCAGATACAAGCACAACTAGATTCTGTTCATTCAGGTAAGGTCAGGGTTAAGATACAGGACAACAGAGCGCCAAGCAGGTAAACCATTTCTGTTATTTTCTACAATCTCCCAGTCTCCTGAAATAATGCAAGTTGCTTTGTCAGGACAATGCAAACTATTGTTCAACACCAGTTTTTCAGCCTCCCCAAAGGCAGCTGAGAAAATACCTATTTCTGCACAAGCACCTCAAAACAGTTTACAGACTTTAATGGCTATCATAAACCCAGTGAATTTCCCAGAGAATCCCAAGTCTGCCTGTGATAAGCAGAGGCAGGGATGAGCCAGCCTAGTCTGCAAACAGACAGGGCAAAAAAACTAGTTAATTTATGGTGGGCAAAGCCCTGAGTTGTGCGATGGCCATGCGGTCCTCCCACAGCCGGGAGGCTGCAAGTCTGGGGCCGGCAAGGGGAAGGGAGGCTTCGCTGGACTCTGCCGCCATGCAACATGCAACTTTCTTTAAAGAAGACCAAAAAAACAACAAAAACCAACCAGAAACCAGCTAAAACAATGCTCAAGTGTTCATGCTAAAAAGTCACCCAAGTTAGTTCCAAATCCTGTCACAGAAGATTTTACCAGAGGACAGTAGTTAGAAACATTCGTTTTTCCTGCATGAGGCTGGGAGATAATGTGCCCCAAGCAACAAACCCTTCGCTTGCCACCACACAGCTGCTAGGTAGCTCTATTTATTTACTCTCAAAACTCAGACATGGCTTTCCTTTTGCTGGCCCAGCAGAGGTTTGGAAACTTTGCTTCACGAGGCTCATGGTTGGAAATTTTAAATTTAGTTATTCCCCCTCAGCAGGAGGTGGATTCTCCTGCCACGAAGCCCACAGCACTGAACACGCAGGATCTGCCAGACCGTTTCAAAAACACATCTTTATGGTTGTTTCTTATTTTACTAGTAACGTATCAACATGGGTAGCAAACACAGTTTAACATACACTTATAATGAGGCACAAAATGTCAGAAGCTGGCTTTCAGCTGATACCAATTAGACTGAAATAGTTTATGTAAACTCTTCCTCAGAAAGAAATTAAACACAATTGCACAAAAAGGACTTGCCTACACTTAAAAACGTGTGCTTGGGCCAAATTCAAACCATGGTAAAACTGTCTTTGGAGGGCTGGATTGCACAGCCTTGACGCAGACCCGTGCTAGCCCATTTCACAATACAGCTCTTCTGGTTTGGCTCACTGAGCTGCATCGTGGCCTCGGAGCAGAGTTTAAGGTCTTATGTTTGGGGCCATAGGGTAGCTGAGCCTCCATCCATCTAAACATGGCTTCCTCTCACCTCCATGCCTGAGCATCACTGGGCCTTGCCGAATGGCAATAGGAAAATTCACAACTAAGGCCTCGGGACAGGAGGGGGAACCTCACAACTCCACTGATCTTACAAGCAGGCTCCCACATACCACTTGGAGGTCAAGTCACATTTGAGGCAGGTTAAAGTCAAGTAAAACTCAATCAAATCCATTGCAACATGGAGACAGAGCATGTAACAGCCTAAGTGAGGTTTTAAACTGCTTTGATTCTTCAAGCCATTACTAAAATTAAAGCTCCTAATTGCCATAGAGCTCACAAAAGTTATAATTTCATTCTAAAGACTTTATAAACTGTATGCGACTGAGAAGTCAGCAGCACCTTTCTACGTTCAGAGAAAACTTGCCCCTGCTCTGAAATTCTCCCATTTCAAGCTTGCTTCTCAGAAAGACAAAAGAAAGGTTTTAGGTCACTGGAATAGCACATCCACAGAAAAAAAGTATGTTTTACTTAAACAGCCTGAACAACTGAGAAGCCTGAGAAAGTTCCAGCAGCACCCCCCAGCAGCAAAGTCAAAAATGGATGCTCACAAACAAAACATGCAAGGTCTTAGAGTGGCTGAGCAGACATTACAGAGGCAGGTCACTCCTTATGAGGCAAAAATCTGAATTATGATGGTACATTTAAGCCATAACCTTACAGAAAGGAAATTACAGCATAGTGCAAGAATTGACAACTCATAGCAGAAAATGGCTGAAGCACAGACAAGTTCCACAATGCAGTCCATGCATGACAGCCACAAACTGCAGAACTCTGCCCAGCTGATGATAAAGTACTTGCTCTGCACCATTCCCTAATCAGAAGCATTAAGGCAGCTGCCATTTAGTCCCACCGCCCCTTCCCCCACAACCCCAGGTTCATGGGGATTCATGGTTTGCAGAGAAAATTAGCAGATTTGCCTTTGTTCGCAGAAAGTTGGGGCTATAATGGCGCAAACTATCTCTTGTTCCCTCCCCTACCGTCTTTCCCAACCCAGAGCATCACAGAAACGTTGTTAGAAAACTTACTTTTGAAACACAGAAAAAAACATTGCATTTATTTTGAGTTCTCCCTCTATGCTGGAGTTGAGCTTGACTTCACAATTCATTATTAAAACCATTCTGCAGCAACATCTGCAGGGAATTATATAAAGTTATCTCTGTGCACTGCCAAGCCAGTCTGAGGTTAGCTCTTGCACTCACACCATCTGTAGAAATTAGGCAGTTCTTTACAGCCTGAGTTAACCCTTACAGATGCCCCTATCTCTCAGTCATCAAAACACAACTCTAAAGCTGATGTGGCATGGATGTCTACACATCAACTCATCAGCTCTCATTCCTGACGAGGATTCAAAGGGAGTTTGAGCCCCACAGAAGGCACACAGGGACTTGTAGCCACTGAGCTCAGACTAAAATCACCTCAAGCTTTGCTGCATTACTCCAAATCGTGCCTTAATACTACTCCAAGAATATTAATTTTTAGGGTAGGAGTGCAATTTTCTCCCCACTTATGTTGACCCTTTGGTTGGCATCTGTCAGCATCCCTAGCTGTAACAACCAAGATGTCTCTACAATCAGAGTCCATCTAGGCTCTGATAACTCTCAGGCATTTTCAGCCTGAGAGATTAAAGGTTCTACTTGCCACGCGTACATACATACACATGGCAAGATGACCGCCAAATAGATTGGTCACGCTGAAGAGTGAATAAGTGACAAATACTCTGATTCTAAAAATCATGTTCTTGCTTTTACAGTCCTCTCCCCAAAAGGCTTAAAAAAAAAAAATTGTTATTCACAACCCACACCATAGGAAACTACTAGAACATAGTTAAAGGACTATCTTTTATGCAAGCTTTGCTTATATTTACATGCATCCTCACTCATCCATGATTCAATATTGTCTCTTTCTCCACACCAACAGGAAAATTAGCTATTCCTGTTGAAGTCTGCCAAACTGTAAGATGCTATGAATCACTTTTACAGAAAAAAAGTTGCAGGGCCTTGCTGAACTTCAGTTTTGAATTCTCCTCTCAGCCATTAATTTCTCTATAGACTTTGACTGTCAATTTATGAGCTTAACTAAAGTAAACAAGAAGAATAGCAACACTGTAAAAGGGAATGGGAATCTCTCCTGCATGAGTGGATTACACATTCTTCTAAACAAATACTTAAATAACACTCCGCCTCTCAAGAGTCTTGGAAAAATCCCACTCAAGCAGTAGTTTGGTACATCTGACAAGCTCTTCGGGCTTCAGGTTTTTAAATCCTTCTGCCTTGTAACTATCTCTTGAAGGTTTGGTTTGTTTTTTTTTTGATCCAAGAACTTAAATTGTCCTACAAAGCAGTACTAGGTGCAATCAGGTCAATTCCAGACCTGGCACGCAGACCTTTTCATGCCAACAGCTGATTACTTTCCTTCAGAGATGCTATCTGCTTCATTAAAAAACAGCTAAGGTAAGAGTATTAGCTGTGCAGGTGAAGCTCTTCCCACACAGTACATGTGTATTTGATACACATAGGGAAATCAGTCATAATTGCCTTGGACAGACCTCCAAAAAACATGCAGAAGCAGAAATATAAAGGCACCAGAAGTAGCATTTTGCGAGAAGGATTTATTTTCTGCAGTAAGCATATTCTCACACCCACTTCCTAAAAATTCACTACAGTGTCCATACACTATCACTGCACATGCTGGCTCTGCTTTCTGTGAAAGGTTCCTTCAGTTTCACACACTTGGCAAAGGCACTGGGTTGAAAGCACTGAATCCACATAAAGTCCAGTGTTTGA